CTCAAATCGGATGATACGTGCAAATCTTGTTTACTTGGAAAGATGACCAAGTCACCCTTCACTAGTACTTGTGAAAGGGGTGAGGGTTTATTGGATCTCAGACATACGGATGTATGTGGACCCTTTAGATCCACCACAAGGGATGTGAACCGCTTCTATGTGACTTTTACCGATGATTATAGCAGATATGGGTATATTTACTTAATCAAGCACAAGTCAGAAACCTTTGAAAAGTTCAAAGAGTTTAAGTAAGAAGTGGAGAATCAACTGGGCAGGAAAATTAAGATGCTCTGATCCGATCGAGGAGGTGAGTACCTTAGTATTGAATTCCACGACTACCTCAAGGAATGCGGAGTCGTTTCGCAATTGACGCCGCCTAGGATACCACAGTTGAATGGTGTGGCTCAGAGGCGCAATCGAACATTGTTGGACATGGTTCGTTCCTTGATGAGTCGAGCTTCGTTACCTATCTCATTCTGTGGGTATGCCTTAGAGACTGCAGCTCATATCCTTAATCTAGTCCCAACTAAGAAGGTTGCCAAAACACCTCACGAGATGTGGACAGGGAAGGTTCCCTCGTTGGCACATATGAAGGTTTGGGGTTGCGAGGCTTTCGTAAGACGAGAGACTCACGACAAGCTCGAACCTCGAAGTGAGCGGTGTATTTTCATCGGCTATCCGCAGAAGTCCTTTGGATATCTCTTCTATAGACCGAATGACAATATTGTCTTCGTTGCGAGGAGAGGGGTTTTTCGAGAACGGGAACTCATATGCCAAGAGGACAGTGGGAGGCAAATTGATATTGAAGAGCTTCACGAATCAAGCGATGAAGGAACCTCTAACACTGGCGCTCAACCCAAGGAGGAAACTCCTGTTGAACCGATTGACGAGTCCCTACCTCTTAGACGTTCCAGTAGAGTTAGTGTTCCACCTGTGTTGTATGGTTTCCATATAACAAGTGAAGCTGATACGTTTATTAGTGATAGCACACTAATAAATTTGGATGAACCTAACAACTACAAGGAAGCCATGGCAAGCCCGGAGCCTGCAAAATGGAAAGAGGCTATGGACAGCGAGATTCAGTCCATGTATGACAATCAAGTTTGGAACTTGGTTGACAATGTGTCAGGTCGTAAGACGGTCGGGTGCAAATAGATCTTCAAGAAGAAGACCGAAATAGATGGGAAAGTACACACATATAAGGCGCGATTGGTTGCGAAGGGCTTTACTTAAACTCCTGGAGTTGACTATGATGAGACCTTCTCACAAGTAGCGAAGATTAAGTCTATAAGGGTCATGATAGCCATAGTTGCGTTTCATGATTATGAAATATGGAAAATAGATGTCAAAACCGCTTTCCTTAATGGGAAGTTGGATGAAGATGTTTAAATGAGTCAGCCAGAGGATTTTGTCGATGCGAATCACCCTAATAGAGTGTGTAATCTTGAGAAACCCATCTATGGATTGAAACAAGTGTGTAATCTTGAGAAACCCATCTGTGTATTTTTCAAAGCCAGTGTGAGTATAGTTAGCTTTCTCATTTTGTATGTGGATGACATACTGCTCATAGGAAACAACGTCCCAACCATGCAGGAGGTTAAGTCCTGGCTTGGGAAGTGCTTCGCTATGAAGGACCTCGGAGAAGCTGCTTATATTCTAGGGATAAAGATATAGAGAAATAGGAGTATGAAACTGATAGGACTTAGTCAAAGTACTTACTTGGATAAGGTGTTGAAACGTTTTAGCATGGAAAATTCCAAGAAAGGGAAGTTACCGATCCAAATTAATACCAAGTTGAGTAAGACTCAAAGTCCGAGTACCGATGTTGAGATAGCAGAGATGAGCAGAGTACCTTATGCTTCTGCAGTTGGCTCAATCATGTATGCTATGACATGTACTCGCCCTGATGTGGCCTTCGCTATGAGCATGGTCAGCAGATATCAAGGGAACCCGGGTAGAGCACATTGGATTGAGGTAAAGAACATTCTTAAGTACCTGCGGAGGACTAAGGACTGGTTTCTTATCCTCGGTGGGAGGGATGACTTGAGAGTGCGAGGGTATAGTGATGCCAGTTTTCAGACCGACCGAGATAATTTCCGCTCTCAGTTGGGCTGGGTCTTTACCCTGAATGGAGGAGCAGTGACATGGAAAAGTTCCAAGCAGGAGATAGTAGTTGATTCAACGTGCGAATCAAAGTACATAGCAGCGAGTGAAGCGTCGAAGGAGGCAATATGGCTGAAGAACTTCATCAGAGACCTTGAAGTTGTACCGGCCATAAAGGAGCCTATGGAGATTTTCTGCGATAACGAAGGTGCGGTTGCCTTAACCAAGGAACCGAGGGATCATGGCAGATCTAGGCATATCGACAGAAAATATCATTTCATTAGACATTGGGTAGAAGAGGGACTCCTCGTAGTGAAGAGGTTATCGTCAGAGGATAACCCATCAGAGCCCCTTACGAAGGGACTGAGTCGGGTTAAGCACTTGCAGCACGCTAGGAGCATTGGGCTGAAGGACGATATTAGTATTAGTGATTAGATAGATTTTATAAACTTGTAATAGATAAATTGTAATTAACATTTGATGATTAAATAAAAGAGTATTATTTATAAATAATGTTACTGTCTTATATTAATTATTTACTATTGTTTCACTTTGCATGTTTTGACTTCCTAAATAATAAGATTATTTAAAACTATCCACAGTCGATCATACGTTGGAAGTAAGTATGAAAGAAGACTGTCATGAATTGGTTTGTACATTGTCTAAGCGTTTAGACATAGCAAAGGGTTGTTGCAACGTTCATAAGTGCTTATGAAATATGATTGTTGTTATAAAACGCATTGTTGTGTACGATTTGATGAGTAACAAGTACAAGCATATAAGTCGAAGTTTGTCTGTTCCTTTTATCCTACGAGGCTAAAAGCGATATCTTGGGCCCCTCGATGATTTTGTTTTGACTTATGTGTCGGTCCCGGTCAGGACTGAATTGATGTGTTCAATTAAGTTCTATGTCAGACAAGTCAGAGATCGAGAAACAAAATGTTGGACAATAAGTATGACTATGCTCTATGTGATTGTCCACACGATATCCTGAGAACGGAGGACTATACGATCCCTTATCTATAGGACGTGTCAGAGTTCGACAACAGCTTTTGAGAGCTACGATTGCTAATCGGATTTTAAAGTCGTACTTGCATTTATAGTTATTAGACTTATCCAAGTGGGAGACAGTTGGATTAGGTGTCTAAGCCATAACTATATTTGGTATGTACTTGACCCGGTTGTAGCATGGTCCTTTTGCGTTGCCTTCACCAAAACAACTTGACTGGAAGAATAATAGAGAAAGAGGTTATTATGGTTTATTAATATATTATTTGAGAAATCATATTATTTAATTAACATTTGTCAAGAATTAATTTAGAATTAATTTTGTGGTCAAAAAAGGTTAATTGAAGTAAGGGGACTGGTATTGTAATTATTGGATAATTGCAGAGTGGGTTGAAGAACCCTAAATATAGGGTGGACGAAATATTATGGAAGCACATAAGGATTTCGTCCAAGGGCTAGGTTCTGGAAGGATCTAGTGGGCTGCTTAGAGCCTAAGCAACCGGATTAGGTCTTTGACTGAAATCCTAATTCTTCAGCTATATAAGGACACCCTTGGCATCCAATTTTCGACTACCCACAACCCTAGAAGGATTCATTGAGCCGAAAATTACCTCTCCCGTCTCTCTCTAAGATTCTCCAATTGCTTTGGTGTTTGTGATCCACTAGAGGCATCACATTTGAGGTGCTAGGTTCTCAAAAGCTCAAGATCTACAAGATTCAATTGAAAAGCAACATTCTTACTAGTTATTTATGTTGATTTCGATTTTGTTGTATGCTAGATTAGGGTTTGCAAGTCTTGGACAATTATTGCATATACAAATTAGAAAAACTAGATCCGAGCATTAGGGTTTGCATGTGCACCATAGGATTGATGTAATGTTCATAACCCAACATATATATATATATATATATATATATATATATATATATATATATATATATATATGTTAGATGTATTGGCAATATGATAAATGCCCACAGGTTATGAAATGAAGGTAAGTATGGTTATATGAATTATAACCTTGTAAATAAGTATGTATACATGATTAGATGCTAATGAAGTTAGGTTAGACCCCAGGGTGTGTGGTGGAAGTTTCCCTTACTTTTTGTTTGCCACGTCATCTTTTCCCTCACTTTTTTTCCCTCACCAAAAGTCATGATGTGTGCGGAAGTTTCCTTCATTTTTTTTAGTAAAAGTAATTGATGTTGATGATTTATATTTTTTTAAATGAGTAATAAACATAAAAATTACTTAAAAATAAAAACCAGTTCATTAATAAAAATTACATAAAAAGATACATTAAAATAAATTAGTGTTTGGTCGATATTTATAATGGTGGAAAGAGATTAAAAAAAACATTTATATATATATATATATATTATATATATATATATATATATATATATATATATATATATATAAATCTTACCGTTTTTAAAAAAAAAATCGTCCAATCAAATTAGGAGAGAGAACACAGAAAGTCCTTCTCCCACTCCTATCCCGCACACCCTTTTCCAAAACTCTCGGTGTTGTTTTCCGAGGAGGGATCCGTTCCCGCATATGCTTCCAGCTACACTCCGTGTAGCCTTAAACACAAAACAGAGATGGATGAGAAAAAGAGTAGGATTATAGGTATTTTAATCCTGTGTATGAATAAGTATGTACGATTAGAGGAGAAGGGTAGATGCTATTAGGTTAATAGGACCCAAAAATTAAACATTGTCTTTTAAGCCGTCGAAATAAGTTTCAATCTTTCATCATCAATAAAGCCGTTTCAATCTAACTGTACGGAAACATGGAACAAAACCTGTTATGAGTACCATAATTTTCAAAAGAAACAATAAAGCTGGCATCAAGGTAAAACTATATACTTACACATTAAAGATAACCCCAACCAATTTTTGTTTTTTTGTTTTTTTTTTTTTTTACAATACACAAAAAACTAACTATATTTGTTTGTATCTTGTGAATACATAAATGGCAAAACTAATATACAAAATTCAATTATAACGAATAAAGTTCACAAATACACATTTTTCCACTACTACTATATTAACAAAATTGGAGACTTTTAACCACCGTCCACCCACCGTCAGACCGGTGACAGGTGGAATCATATCCGGTGATCAAATCGTATACACCTGACACTGAATGACGGTCTTACCCAATTTAAACCCAGGAACCACCGTAAATCCCACCTCCGGCGAACTTCCCGCCGACAAAAACGCCTCTTCATTTACACTATCCATAAACACTTCAGAAAACCGACACCCTTTTGCCACCTGGAATACACTTGCCACGTGTTCAAACGAGAAAGCCAGACAATGTAAAACCCAAACCCTTTTAGCACACTCCAAAAACAAATCAAAAAAATCCGTTTCCGGGAACTCTCCAGCGTTGACCAAATCCCGTTGACTCAAATTCCCAAAAAGGGACATTTCCATCTTCGGATGAACGAGATTCAGATACTTTGACCGACAGAATACGGCGAATTTCGATTCCGGTTCCGATGTCACGTACTCCCTCGCTTTCAAAGTCTTCAATTCCGTAAACTTATCGAAGAAGAAACGTCGGCATTGACGATTCCCGTGTTTCGAAAACTCCGGAAAGTTGAATCCGTCGTACATCTCTCTACACACGAATGACTCGAATGCGTAGCATATATGCGTTGGGTCCCAGTACACTACGCCTGGATGGATCGCGCTCGCGGCGGAATCCAAATTCCAGTTTGCTGATTCCATTCCGATGATCATAAACTTCACCAAATTCCGAATCGATTTTGTCGTTTGTTTAAAAACCGAGACAAAATTGGTAGGTTTCAATGACAAAAAATCGAAATTCCATAAATTGGATAAAGTTCCGCTTGAATTCAATCTTTTTTCAATCGATTTGTTTTCTCTTCTGTTTTCTTCTAATTTTTCTTTTAGAAAAATGATTTCCGAGTCTTTGAGCTTCGTTTGATTATCCAATTTCTTACACGTTATCTCGTATGTTTTCACGAGGTTCTTTTGTTCTTCGATTTCTGAAAAGAGTAGGGTCATTTCAGGGGTAGAATCGTCAAGATGTTTTTTTAAAAAGGATTGTTTTAATTCGGATAATGTTTTCAAATCGGCGACAACGATTTGATCGGCTGATTGGATTCCTTCTGCGTCGTAAGGGAATTGGGCGTATTGTAATTGAGCGTAAGCGGATTTGATGGAAGAAATTGTGGCGAAAAGTTTGGAGATGAAGGCTGCCATTGTTGCTTTTTCACGAAGCTTTTCTTCTTTAATCTTCTCATTATTATTGATATTTTCCGATGTTTTTGTTTTCTGGAAATTATCGGAGAGTGTTGTAGATCGAATGTGGAGAACTTTTGCGAAAGTACGAACGAGTTTGCTTTTGTTGGAGGTGGAACGCTTCGTTGAATAATCCATCTGGAAGAAATGATTTGAAACGAGTTATGATTTAGTTGAATATAATGGAAGATCGTTTTATGATTTTTTAAACTAATTTACAAGTTGATAATTTAACTTGGAATGATAGAGAGCTAGGCATCTATGATGAACTATTCAAAAAGGAACTAACATAATAATCATCAGTTCCCATCAAACAGTTGATTGTTTACCATGTTATGTAATAATGTAATTGTACATGGCTTTTTTTGATAAAGAACTCACTATTCACTAACACTATTGATGAGAAAAGACAGGGGAAAAGAGAAAGAGAAAGAAAATGAAAATTAACTAATTGTCTCACTGGTTCAAGTTATTCCATGTAGGTCCCTTATGGAGGTGTTCAATAACACTTTCTACAACTGGAAACGCACAGAGGTAAAATCATGGAGTGCTAACAAACAGAAAAGCACAAAAAGTAGACAATCGTAAAAGGACCCTTAGATAGATACGACAGGATGTTGATCACATGGAGATAGAGTAGTCTTTTTCAATCAAAAATAGTGTGTTGAAACAACACCGATTCTCAAAAGTTTTTACAGCAGAAGTTGAAATCGATCAGAAGTCATACAGAGTAACAACGTTTCAACGAACTCGTCATTCGTCATGTAAGTCTGGAAAAGAAAAATTACCTTAGGCGGTTGACGAATTTCGAAACTCAATTTGACGGCGTCGCAACGTCAATCTCAGGTAGCCATGTCATCTTTCCGATAATGAAGAACCTTTGATCAGAAAACAACAATCAAACACCTTGAAAAGTATAATATGTAACGTATATGCACACACATCTCTCTGAAAAGGAAAATCGTAAGAGAATCGGAAAACATATTCAAAGCCCTAGTTCACGTCTCCTTCTAGTTATAGCAAATTGGAATACCAACTGACCACAATAAACTAATGGTTTTTGGTATAAACTGGTGTTTTCCGATAATTTCCTACGGATTAAACAAATAAAACATAAGATATCCTAATAGACAAATAGACAATAGAGATTCCTTTACACAGATTCCAAAAGAATCGACATGAAAACGATTATCAATCCGCGTGGAACACCTACCAAATTAGCAAGACGAAGCTTCTTCGGTTGGTCTTACGAAGCCGATACACACTCCCACAAGCGTTTAATCGTCAAGAAGATTCTTCAATGGCGTTTTTTCAAGGTTCATTAATGGAAGAAATTTACAAGTTGTGTCAAAATGTCTGGGGTATCGGAAAGTCATTCTGATTTTAAAACACTTAAAAGTTAGGTTTTAAGTCGTGAATTGCGAATTTTAAAATTACGATTTTACCCTTGATGTTAATCAGATGAGGGTTGAGTGGTATGGGATGCTTCAGTAATTTCAATGAACATTCCATCTTTGTCTGACTGGACATTGTTTTGGGCCCCTGTAATTTGTCATGGTTCGGCTGTTTGAGCCCAAATGAACAAAAATTCGGTGGAAAATGATTAGGAAAATGGAATTTCTATTTTTTTTTTCATCTAAAATAATATAAAATAAAATGTCTAATTAACAAAAGTTTAGTGTTTTATTTTGTTTATTGATTATATTATTTCAAAAGTGTGATTCTACCAAAGGACAGGACAAAACACGAGTATTAAAACTAAAAGGCCAAAACCAAATCTTCAAAGAAAAGCATATAACTCCATGATATATCATAAGTAAAACAAGGATATGTCTTAGGTGCATTTCATGCAAAGATCTCATCTTTTGCATTGCATTTAGAAGTTAAAATAAAGTATTTTCACATATTTTCAGTTATTTCTAGTCTATCAAATAAACGCTTTTATTAGTACACTTCATGGTGTTTTTCAAGTATATTTGAAGATTGGGATGCTCTTTAGGGACATGAAGGAAGCTCGGGAAAAAAAATTGGAAGCAAACCGGGCGGAAATAAAGAAGTTGGAAAAATCAAGGCAGGCCAAAAACAGTGGATATCATATGGGGCGTGTGAAAGTGTGAAAATTGGCATAAAAATCCACAAGGGGTGTCATGGCCAACAATCCAGGCGTTGACTTTCATTCACACGGGGCGTATGAAGTCCAAAAAGAGCAAAATTTAGCATTCTACTTTTGAAGACTTTTCGATTACATCATCCTACTTTTCTTCAACACGGGGCATGTGGATTCTGATAATTGCCTTTTGATAGTTTTTCCTGATGACTTATTACGGGATTTTTAGGGGTTTTTTTTAATCACTCTCTCTTATCTCAGACGAATTGGAGGCGATTTTTATCAGAGGTTTTTGCTAGAATTCTTTTGGAAACATCTTGAAAACAGTTTAGTTTTAGTTGCTAGAATTCTTTAAAGACACAACTCATTTTCAAAAGAAAAACTCTGTTTTAAAAGGCTTTCTATACCACTTAGCTCATCTTTTTCAAAATCTAAGGAAATATAGCACAAGCTTACTCTTTAAATATATCTAACATTGTTGGAGGTTCTAATCGAGCTCCAATACTTGTTGCAATTGAATACCATCACTAGTCTCAACACATGGAAAGATATTTAAAAAGACGTGGTAAAGAAGCTTGGAGATCTGTGGAAAAAAGAACCACATGTACCATTCCTTACTCCCATTGTCACTGATGAAACTCAAACCAGACTTGGAGGCGGTCAAGTTTCCATGACCAGACCTACCAACGATGACATTGAGAACATGGAGAAAGATGAAATTGCTTTCTATGAAATCTCTTGTGGAGTTCCTCCTGACAGTTTCGATCTCATTATTAACTGTAAATCAACAAAAGAAATTTGGGATGTTCTTAAAAATCTTTATGAAGGAACAAATCAAGCACAAGATAAGAAGCTGACCACTGCACTGAACGAATTCAACAACTTTAAACTCTTCCTGGTGAAAGTCTTGATGATTCCTTCAAAAGATTCAACCTCATCGTCACCAAACTCTCAAATGCAAGCATCACTCGAAGTGATCATAAAACAAATCCGCAGTTCCTGAATGGGTTAGGAAAGCAGTGAACCATGGAGAAGATGACAGTTCAAGGTGACAGCAAAATCAAAACTCTGTCATTCTACAAGCTCTACAGTAAACTACAAGCTCAAGAGTCTACGGTGATGAAAGATTGCATGAATCTAGGTGGACCACTCGCCTTGGTCGCCTACTCACCACAACCTGCCAACCAATCTCCTCAGTATTATTATACCGGAGAGTCATCATACCAAACCCCATATGATGACACACTACAATCATATGAACCATATATGTAACCTGATGAAAAAGAAGCCTTTTAACACGCATTAGCCTTTGTCAGCCAACAGTTTAATAGACTCCCTCTACCCAACTATCGTAAAAATCAGCAGTTCACCAGACCTCCTTTTAACCGCAACTACAATCCTCAAAATAACTCCCTTCAACACTATCCTCAACCATATCAACCTCAGCCCTCCAAATATCCTAGGAATCCATCATATCAACCTTAGTCTCAAAACACACCTTTGATGCTCACAAACTCCACTGAAACATCAAAAGAAGAAAAAATCTTCAGATACCGCAGTTGGCACCGAAGAGAAGAAAGAAGGATTTCTCATATGCAATAAGTGTCACAAGGAAAATCACTTTGCAAGAGACTTCAAAGCCAACGTTGTGAAAGACAGAGCATTCTGTCTTAGAATGGCTCAAGAAGCTGAAGACAAAGAAAAGGTTGAGAAAGATTTTATAGCACAAGTAAGGAGAGACCATCAAGTATGGTCTTCGGGAGATGAAGATGAGGCCAATGACAACAAAAGGAAACAAGGAAAGTTGTGTCTGGTTGTAAAGAAAAAAGAGAACACCAAAAAGCTGAAGAAAAACTACTGCTTCATGGAAAATGAAGGAAACATCAGCATCGTTGAACAGGTAAAATTTATGATTTAGTCAAAAAATTATAACATGAATGATTGTGAACCACCTTTGGAACAACTTACTCAAACGCGTGCTGACATCCTTTCAAATTATAACAAAGCCTTAGATGAAAAGAACATAGGGACCCAAGAGTTGTATCACTTGAGAGGAAGACTAGAAGACAAAAAGATTAAGGTCACTATGTTAGAAGTAGACTTGAAACTATAAAAAAAGATATGTTACTTAGTGAAACTCAGATAGATGTTGCTTTCAATCAATGGGATTTAGCCCGGGCTGAAATTGTACGCTTAAACAAATTAATAGAAAAGCTTTTTAATGAAAGTGAAGTGTTGTGATATATCAGAGTTGATTGGATTGAGACTGTGGGTGAGTGTTGTGTTGGTTCCTTCTCCTAATATCACGGTACAAAAGAAAAAGATGATCGTTAGAAGACGTCCGGGATGGTTTCCCAGGACGAAGCACCGACGATCAAGTTAGAATTGATCCTGAGAGAAGATAGGGTAATTATGAGAGAAAAAGAGTTGCGTCCCCTTCTCCGCGAGGAAGAAAGGTCCTTTTATACCTGATTGAGAGGCACGTGCCTCCTAACTGCATCTGTTGAGCTTCCCTTGTGAGACGTGACATGGCGGATCCGTATTGAAGGATCCTCTATCACGTCTTTCTGTCTCCTCGCCTTATTGGCTAGAGGAGAATCTTCGATATTATGATGATCGTGGGTGTCGTCAGATGGGCAAGTGGAACTCTCTGATTGGTTCCATGTTTGTCGGGGTATTTCTTCTGGGAGAAGAGGGCAAGGTGCAGTTCTTCCCCTTAAATGTCATACCAGTGGATCCGTATTGGCGGAGGCCCGACCTTGGCCTCAGACTGGGTATGACCAGATTCTAAACCAGGTCAAGCTTGGCGCTAGTTTGATTTATCCTTTTTTTAATGTTTTTCATAAGGGATATGTTAACAAGTCACTTAGGCTTGGCGTCGTCGTTCGAGCCTATATTGCAACATGTGTATGTCTGAGATTATCTCTGGCATTCGACAGACTTTAGACAGAGTCGTCGATGTGTGTCAGATCCATCACGAGATGGTTTGTGACGCCAGTTCTGCCTTTAAAATCCCCCTTTACCCAAGACCTTTAATCTTTGCCCCCTTTCCTTGCTTTCGTTGTAGCGACTCAGGCATTTTTCGAAATTTTCTTTTCTATCATTCATCCCTTCTTGACGATGGACCGTTATGGAAGAGTCCCTACCGTAGAGGAATTCCAACTACTGCAAGAACGATTCGGTTTCTTACCGGAGGATGGCATGATGATTTCGCGCGAAGGGATCATCGATCTATGATTGTCATCGAAGGAAAGTGGGGGTTCATGTTCCTCTATTCGAAGCGGGGTTATGCCTGCCAACATCTGACTTTTTTGATATGATCGTTCATCACTACGACTTTTTCGTTGACGAATTAACCCCAAGTGTCGTCAATAAGATCGTAGGCTTCGATTTGATCTATCGATCTCTAGGTTGTATACCCACTTTTTGGGTTTTCAGTTACTTCTTTTGTGCGTCTACGAACTCCGGCGTCCGCACGTTGGCGAAACAGCGGGGCATTCGTCAGTTGATCTCTGAACAAGATACTCCGAAGAAAAATTGGCAGAGGCAATGGCTCTGGGTCAACCGAAACCTTGTGGGGCATGGGTTTCGTAAAACCCGATACTTTCCGGACCGTCTTCCCAAGCTTTTCGGGGATAACCTGACTCTTGGAAAACGGCTGGGAAAAATTACTGTCATCGGGGAGAACTGGGAAGATTTTATCCTTGCCGCGGCCGGTATGAGTGTCGCCTGGGAGGGCGCGTGGGAAGATGGCGCAGTTATTCGTCGTGAGATGCGATATTCTCCATCTCCTTCTCCCTCCCTCTTTTAAAAAAAATAAGAACAAGGTATTTTATTGGCTTGTGAGTTCTCATACTTGGTGTTCGTGTTCGCAGGTGCCGAAGCCGAGATTTCCTTAGAGATGGCCCTGCGTGGTTACTATCGGGGTAAGCTTTGTCACCGGGAGGTTGACCTCGTGGAGACTCTTCCCCTCCCGTATCTGAAAAACGTATGCGGGAGGTCGTTGGATTGCTCTCAGCAGAAGGGGGAAATGTTGTTTCTAGCGGACCTGCCTCTCCTTCCCAACCGGTTGTTGGGGCCATTTTCCCAGCTCGTTTTCCGGCCTCTGCTTCTGCCGATATTCCTGTGGTGGTTCAAGCAGGAAAAGGTAATACTCCAATCCGGAAAAAATGAAGTTTGGTCGTGGTGCTGTCGTCGGACGAAGAGACCGATTCTGATGACGTTGACCTCCATCCTCATAAGATGCGCAACACTGTGTCAGTG